CTCGTATCGTCAGGGAGGCTCAAAAGATTACTGGTTGCCTGGCGGCATTAGGGAGATTCCTTAGCCGGTCAGGTGACAAGTGCCTGTATTTCTTTCAAGCAATCAAAAAGAGGTCGAGGTTTGAATGGGGTGAAGAGGCTGAGGCGGCATTTCAAAGGCTGAAGCAACACTTGCATTCTTTGCCAAGATTAGTGAGTCCCCTACCCCAGGAGGCTCTCTACATGTACTTGGCCGTCTCTGATCATTCCTTAAGTGTCGTTCTCCTTGCTGAGAGAGACGGCAACCAGCTCCCGGTCTACTTTATAAGCCACGTCCTCCGGAATGCTGAGCTTCGCTATCCCATGATTGAAAAATTCGGTCTGGCATTGTTCAAGGAAGTCAAGCGGTTGAAACCTTATTTCCTGGCTCATCCGGTGACCGTCTATACTGACCAACCGCTCAAAAGGCCTATAACCACTTTAGAGTCATCCGGAAGAATGATTAAATGGGCTGTGGAAATTCAAAGTCTAGAAATCACTTTCGAACCTAGGCGGGCAGTGAAGGGTCAGGCGTTTCCCGACTTCATTGTTGAAATGACAAGGCCGATACTGCCGGATAAAACTGATCAAGTTTGGAAAGTTTATGTAGACGGGAGCTCTACTGTGAATGGTTGTGGGGCAGGCGTAATTTGTCATTCTCCAGAGGGGGACAAATACGAATATGCTCTACAATTCAAATTTCAAGCTTCAAATAATGAAGCTAAATACGAGGCCCTGCTAGCCGGTATCCGCATGTGTAAGGCAGTCGGGGCAAGGAAAGTTGACGCCTGTTCTGATTCTCAACTCATCGTTAGCCAGTACAACGGTGACTATGAGGCCACCCATCTGGTGATGATTAAGTATCTTCAGGCGGTCAAAGAGGAGGCTGGGGCGTTTAATGAATTCAATCTAAGTCAAGTACCCAGGTCCGAGAATAATCAGGCGGATGCACTATCAAAACTCGCATCATCCGCCACATGTGATACGCCTAGGTCAGTCTTCAGGGAAGTCATGGAAAAGAAAAGCATTGAACCTGACCCCATTGGAGTTCTAGATCGAAGCTCCACTTGGATGGACCCCATCCGGGATTACCTGGTAGACCCCATCAGAGGCGGATGCTCTTAAAAGACCAGCATTAAGCTTCGTAATGCACAAAGGTGAAATCTTCCGAAAGGGTTACCTGCAGCCGCTATTCAAATGTGTTACCCCAGAAAGGGGAAAGGAAATACTGGAAGATCTGCATGCCGGCTTCTGTGGATCGCACATTGGCGGAAAGACACTTGCCAAAAGAGCCAGGCGGCAAGGATACTTTTGGCCCACCCTCGAGGCAGATGCATTAGATTTGGTAAAAAGATGTGACAAGTGCCAGAAGTTTGGCCGGTTGATCAGACAGCCGGCCACTGATTTAAAAGCTATTCACAGCCCAATTCCCTTTGCCAAATGGGGCATGGATATTCTGGGGCCATACACTCCTGCCCCAGGCGGCAAAAGATACATTTTGGTGGCTGTTGATTACTTCACCAAGTGGGTTGAGGCCGAGGCGGTAAAGGGCATCAAAACTAAGGATGTCATCTCCTTCATCTAGAGAAATGTCATCACCCGGTTCGGTGTACCAATGTCAATGGTCTTTGACAATGGCCCCCAGTTCGAAACGCCTGTCCTAAAGACTTGGTTGCAAGATCAAGGGATTTCCCATTACTTCGCATCCGTTGGCCGTATTCAAGCAAACGGTCAAGTTGAAGCTTTAAACAAGCTCATCTCAGGCGACATAAAGAAAAAGATTGAAAAGGCAGGCGGTCTTTGGGCAGAGGAATTGACTCATGTTATTTGGTCTATCAGAACTACTAAGAAGGGGTCAACCGGTGAAACTCCATTTCTTATGGTATATGGCACAGAGGCGGTGCTTCCTATTGAATTATATGAGGCAACACTTCGAATCATGTTATGATGAAGAGGCAAATTGGGAAGCCATGTGCCTGGCTTTGGATACTCTTCCTGAAAGAAGGGGCAACGCCACCTTGCGTCATGAAATCTGCCGTCTGCGAATGACGAGGGCCTACAACAAAAGGGTGCGTAAACGCCCCCTCAAAGTTGGAGATTTTGTGTTACGAAAGCTTGAGGCAACCGGAAGGGCGAACGAACAAGGGAAACTGACCCCAAACTGGGAAGGACCCTACCGGATTTTTGAAGAAGTTAGAAACGGCACATACCGCCTGGAAACCCCAGATGGAATGCGGCTGCCTCGTACCTGGAATGTAGATAACTTGAAAAAGTACTACTTCTAAAGGATTTTGTAATTTTTTGTAAATAGTATTGAAATGTGAAAACATATAATTTCCATTCATGCAACTGTATTAGCACCTGTCTAGTGCAAGAACACAGACGGAAGAACATTTGTTAAAAACCACTGCTCCAAAAAGAGCAGTCATCCGGCGACACCCATCCGGGTGAAATCGTTGAAGAGAACAGCTTCCTTCCGGATGGTACATTGTTCTAGCGATCCAATAACTCAAACGAAATTTTCTTAAAAGAAACTTGTAGCCGTTAGAAATGATCCTTCGCATCTAGGATTCACCCGGTAAGGACCCAAAAGTGGTCCATCCGGCAAAATGAAGTTCCTAGTGGGTTACTACAACCGGGTATTATCTAAAAGCCACCCAAACGGTTTTACAACCCATCCGGCTGCCAATGAAACGCCTGCTCGTTTACCGTTGGAGTAAACAGTTGGCCATTTCAGGGGCATTTTATTGTACCAGCCGGTGAAAGGAATGGTGTCCTTCCAACAAGTGTATTATTCCGATAGAGGGTTCAGAGGTAATTCTTCAGTAAGGTCAAGTGATCGGAATGCCTAGGTGGAGGCCGCTTCCGATCAGTAATATCAGGGTACAATTGATATTACAGCTTAATCTTAACTGAACCCTTCGGGTCGAACCCAATCGAATCTCCGATCCGAGACGTCAAATTAATCCGAAAGGATTTAATGAGTCGACAGAGTTTTACGAATACAGACGTCGGAAATCGAGCCTAGGGCGTCGAGACCGAGCGTCGCAAAATCACAATCGACAAGTATGAGCGTAGCCATAGCTAGGCTAGGCTAGCTCATCGTAGTCACTAGGCGCGCCATGGCAGCCCTAGCATGATGGCTAGGCACCATGGCTGGCTGTCGCTAGCACTAGGCGCGCCAACACAGCCCTAGCATCATGCCTAGGCGCTATCGCAGCCCTAGCATGATGCTAGGCACCATCGCAAGCAAGCAGCCCATCGCAGGGCCTATACGCATCACTAGGCGCACCATGTGTGGCCTAGGATGGCTGGGCGCCATCGCAACCCAGGCAGCATCACTAGGCGCACCATGCGTGCCCTAGGATGGCCTGATGCCATAGCAGCCCTAGCATGGTGCTCGGCGCATGGCAGGACCACACGCACCAATCTCAGCTAGTGCTAGGCACTGGCGCATGCGTGGTGCGTGGTGCCTAGGCGAGGCATGTGCGTGCATAGTGCACAGTGCCGAGGCTGATGCGTGAGGGTGTGCGAGAGTGTGTGCGAAGGGCTGGCAAGCTAGCGAGCAACATCAAGCCAAGCATGCGTGGCTCACTAGCAGCACGCATGCTAGGCATTGTGTGCGAGAGAGATGCGTGGTGCGCATGATGTAGGAGTGCGGTGCGTGGCAAGAGGCCAGCATGCGTGGCTCGCTAGCAGCACGCATTCTGGGCCATGCGAGTAGCAAGGATGCGAGGGATGCTGGCAGCAGCGCCAGCACGCACCAGCCAGCACTAGCGCCAGCACGCACCAGCGAGCATCAGCGATGCTGCTTGGCTTGTGCTAGCATGCTAGGCTAGCTGGCACAGCCAGCTGGCACGCTAGCTGGCAGCTGGGCAGCATGCAAGGGTGAGGCGGTTTGTGAGGAGAGTGGGGACCAAGGCTTTGGGAAAGCCTTGGGGAGCAAGGCATTGGTCCCCCCCACCTCTCCATGGTCCTCACCTAACACTCTCTCCCTCCTTGACACTTGTCGAATTGTGATTGCATTTGTTTGATGATTTATTTTCGAAATAAATTAATTGACAAATAAAACATTCTCCCACATTGGTTGGGGAATGAGAATCAAGGGACCATTTCCCTATAAATACCAAGCTTGGTATTGGGATTTGATACAACCTTGAGTGGAATTAAAAAGGCAACTCTAAGAAAAGAGTAAACCTTTGATTCGTAAAACTCATAGTTATTTTGTCCGGGTCTTGACTAACCTTCAAGACTTAGGACGCTTGGGTCGGGTCGAGGGTACGATCCGTCGGAGATCTCGTCTTTTCGGGATTTTAAAGTAAGAGCTCTTTAGGAGCGAAGCACGCGTCAAAGGTATAATTCTTGTCCTTAATCTTGTTTGATTAAGTTAATTATGCTTGTTTAATTGCTTTAATTAAGGGGCGGGTCTTGGTGGGTTTCCTTCCGCGTAGTGTCGGGTCACTACGAAACCCTACAGCCGGGGCAGGAGTAGATCAACCATTGATCACCCATCCGGCTGGTACAATAAAACGGCTGCCTGTTACCCGTTGGAGTAAACAGTTGGCCATTTCAGGGGCATTTTATTGTACCAGCCGGGGCAGGAGTAGATCAACCATTGATCACCCATCCGACTGCCAATGAAACGGCTGCCTGTTTACCGTTGGAGTAAACAGTTAGCCATTTCAGGGGCATATCATGGTATCATTACTTCATCCGGCGAAAATAGAACGGCTGATCATGTTAACCGGATGAGTAGTAAAGAAATTGTAAAAACTTGTAAAAATGCATGTATAAAAATAAAAAAAATTAAAAAAATGCATATATAAAAAAAAATGCAATAGAGAGGATATAAAATAGCAAAACCGACTGCGTCGGCCAGTAGATTAGGATTTTAAATGTTAACCGGACCCTTGTCCGGGAAAAGTACATTAATACACACGGCACGCAGGCCGGTAAAAGAAGTTATAATAAAAAGAGAAAAATTCATTGCTGCTCCTGCTGCTGTTGTTGCTCTAGCTGCTGCTCCGGCTGTTGCTGCTCCTGCACCTGCTCCTGAGCCGGCTGTTGAGTCTGCGCCATCTGCTCATCCTCTTGTTGCTCTTCTTCGACCAAACCTGCCCATTCCTTGAAGGTAGCAGGGGTCCAGTCCAAGGACCTTGGCATCATATACCTCTGAGGCATACTTGTACCTAAGGTCGAAGAACTCGTAGTCATAATCCGGGTGTATGAGCCCCCAGGCGAGCTTCATGCGCTCCTCATTGTCAGTCTCGTTCTCAGCAATTAGGCGGCTTTGTTCTTTTTTAAGCTCTTCTTTATGAGCCGCCTGACTAGAAGCAAGTTCATTTTTGAGCCGGTTGACGTCAGCGCGAAGGTCGGCGTTTTCCTTGTCAGCTCCTTCTAAAGCCTTGAGATCGGCTTGAAGATCATTGACCTTTAGAGCTAGCCCATCCGCCCTCGCTTTTTCCGCCTCAGCAGCCGCAATAATTTGCTTCAGCAATTCCTCCTGTTCTAACTCTCGCCGTTTAGTTTCCAGGTCATATCTAATGGCATTGTATTGGGAAACATCAATGAGCTCAGATGCCCGTCTCTGGGCATCCGTTACCTCCTCTTGCTTCTTGCGCAAGGGGACCTGAAGCCCGTCAATTCTCAGCATCACCTGTGATATCAGCCGGTAGAGGACTGTTAGAATCATTTTCAAAACAACTGAAACGGTAAAAAAAGAAATTACAAGAAGGTGATGCATCCGGTAAAAATTACTTCAGCCAGGAGAGAAGTGATCCGGTCAATGTTGACTGTATGCACAGCCGGCACAGCCTCTTTCTCGGTCCGGATAAGGGTCCGGATCATCCTCTTAGCATACTGTTGATAGTTGGGCCGGCTGGAGGTAGCATCTGCAATTAGAGATTTATCTGTCAAGTGTTGAGCATACGCCTCGCCAATATTCTGATGGCTGCCAGAAGAATCCCCGGATTGGCAAGCTTGGGTCTTTGCTCGCATAGGCCCAAGCGGCCAGGGGGGATCAAAGGCAAAAGTCATACCTTCGTCGGACTGTGGGGTAGAATCACCCCCAGCCGCGTTTGAGCCAGTACCCGTTTGAGTCTGGCCAGCCGGAGCCACCGGCTCCTTCACACCCTCATCCACCACTTCAATGGTGGGAACAATTCCACTAAGGCTTTTGCCTCCAGTGGTGGGCCTGCCTCCTGCAGGCTGTTTTGGAATAGTCTTAGCCGGTGGGGGAACCGACATCTTCAATACCTTAGCAGCAGGCAGAGGAATGTCCCCCGCCGGTCTTTTGACCATCTTAGACAGAGAGAGAGGAACAACCTTGTTTCCAGCCTGCAAATATACAAAACCAACCGGTTAATGTCAACACAGTATACAGATGCTACAGCCGGTGAAAAAGAGGAAATAAATGTTACCCCGCCATCTTTAGCCGCCAGCTACGACTTCTTTTTCTCAATTTGCTCCTTCCGGAGCAGAGCGGCTGACGTAGCCGGTGTCTTTTCTTTTGGAATCTTCTCCATCGCAACTTCTGCAAAAACAAAAGAATGGTTAATATGCAGTACAGCATACCAATATCAGGCGGCTAAGGCCGGTGATAAGTAAAAACCTACTCTTAGGAAACATGGTGCTAAGGTTGCAGGCAGAGAGAAATGCCTCATCCTTGAACCAGTCCGGGTGGGGCACCCAGAACTGAGGAACTATTATCTCACTCCCATCACCCAGTCGGGAGGTTGTCTTTTTGAAGAGGCCCTTCTGCATGATTTTATCCCATGCCTCGCTTGGCACTCTAGGCAGAGCACACTTCCTACCAAGCAAAGCTGGGTGTTTATTGTATCTACGCAGCCGGCGATTAAGTTGAGGAGATGGAGAAGAGACGACATAAAATTTGCTCTTCCAGCTACTCCATTTGGACGGTTTGTCCAATGTCATCATATATTCCGGGTGCGTGGTCAGAGTATACCATGCATTCCACCCACCCGGCGCCCTGCTGAGATAATGCATGTACGCAAAGGCTTCCCAGCTTGGTTTGACCTCCTGCATCTCGCAGGCGGAAATGTATCCAAGTATGTTAACCCATGAGTTAGGGGTCAACTGCCATACGCCCAAATCATACCCCCTTAGTATGGCTTTAATGCAGTGGTGAAGGGGGAAACAGAGACCGGCTGTGAACGCCGCCTCATACCAGCCGAAATAGTTGTCGGCATTGTCCACGTCGTCGGTCCAAACGACGCTTGCCTCAACAGGCGGGACAACCACTTCCTAGTCCTTCCCTACCGGTTCATCGGTTGCCGTCACTCTGATCCGAGCCATTCTGTCCTGCACATGAACAGAGACGGTCGGATTCGATGTAGGTGAAGGTTGTTCCAAGCACCCCCAGACGGCAATCCCAGTCCTAGACTCAGCCGTTCCTGGTGACCGGTTGACCACAGTCGTAGGCTCTGCCGTGTGTGCATTGGTGGAGTCCATATCCTAATACTATGCAACCGGAAATAAAAGAAAGTGACAAGTATGGGATGCAGGCAGTACCTTTGAAATGAGAAAGTGAGTTGGCTTGAAGTCACCTCAGACGGGGAACTCCGCGAAAATGTTTAAATCTGAAAAAGACAAAGTAGATACTTAGCCGGTTATTCATTAACTCGCCCAAAAACCCCCCAGACGGTGTTTAATGAGGTGGGTCAGAAGTATCCCAAACGGCATAAGGCCGGATGGGGGTTCTTTACAAACGTTTGTAATGACTAGCTAGAAAATTGTAAAGCTCTCTATGATACCCCATACGGTATTCAGTGAGCTGGGTCAAAAGTACCCCAGACGGTTTAAGACCGGATGGGGGGTTATGACTTGCATAATTGTAAAACGTAGCTAGATTAATTGTACAGTTCACTGAATGATACCCCAGACGGTATTCAGTGAGCTGGGTTAAAAGTACCCCAGACAGTTTAAGACCAGATGGGGGGTTATGACTTGCATTATTGTAAAACTTAGCTAGATTAATTGTACAGTTCACTGAATAAAACCCCAGACGGTATTCAGTGAGCTAGATTAGAAGTGCCCCCAAACGGTATAACACCGGATGGGGGGGTTGTGATCAAAATTGGCGTAGTAAAAAGAATTGTGAAGCTCACTCCATGATACCCCAGACGGCATCAGGAAAGTTGGGTCTGAGATACCCCATCCGGTAAAGATGCCGGATGTAGGTGCTGCATCAGCATCTAGGATCAACAAATACCTCAAACGGTAAAATACCGGATGAGGATATAGAGAGATCTGTTTCAAAAAGGCATGTTTAAACAATATTCAGACGGTGAGTCACCGGATGGGGGTGCATTGAATGCATCTTACAAATTGAAAAGGTCTCGGAAAGACAAAGAATGATGACCCAGCCGGCTTTGAAACCGGTTGGGGTTTTTAAAATCATCACTTGGCAGAGCAAATACCCAGACGGTGAGTCACCGGATGGGGATGCATTGAACGCATCTTAAAATTTGTTAAGTCCTGAAAGAGGCAAGGATGATGACCCATCCGGCCTTAAAACCGGTTGGGGTTTTTGAAATCATTTCTTGATAAAAGCTCAAAAATACCCCAGGCGGTGTTAAAGAATAAGTTTATTTGGGAAAGGATCAAAGACCCCCCAGACGGTATTAAACCGGATGGGGGTGTTTAGAATGCATAATTCTTAAAAGTTGAAGACCCCTCAGACGGGGCTATGCCAGCTGAGGGAGAAGATTCAACTGGGATATGGGTTAAAGGCCCCCCAGGCGGCAGGCAACCCGGATGGGGTGAAACGTTCAAAGTCCTCCAACGAAAGCTAAAAAATAGAAAGAAAAGTGCAGCCGGTACCTAAGAGATTGGAGAAAGAACACCCAACCGGTCGCCGGATGTGCTTGATTTGAAAATGCCGGATGCAAGGAAACTTAGGAAGTTATGCAGCTGGTATCAGAGCTCTCTCAGAAATATTTTTGAAAAATTATGCAAAGTGTGGAGGAGAGAGAGAGTGTCTCTCATTTATAGAGAAGGAGCAGAAGGCAAAACGATGCCTTCTGCCCTAAACACTTGAAATTTGAAAAAAGGAGGGAAGAAGACGAACCGTCTCCTCCCATGCGTCTGACACTTGTCACAGGTGACACGTGGACATGCCACGTCACACCTGTGAGGGGCAGATGTTTAGGGTAAAAATACCCTAAGACACGTGGCCCTATGAAGGCTTGCCACGTGTCAAGCTTGCAACGGTCAGCAAAGGCTCAATCCTTTTGCGACACGTGTCATTGTACCCTAATTGAGGTACAGCTCTCCCCTACTATAAATAGTAAGGGCAGACCTCATTTATGGGGATCGAATCATTTTCCACAAACCAACAAAACACAATTCCCCTTGCAAACGCTCTCAAATCGAGAAGCATTTATTGTCTTATTTCCTCATTAAGAAAGAGACTAACTTAATCTTCGGAGGCGGAACACCCCAGCCCCAGCCGGAGCATTCTGTTATTTGTGCAGGTACAGGCTAAGGAAGGAGCATACTAGGAAATTGTATCTCTCCCGTAGGACACATAAAAAACCCCCCAAACAATGGCCAAGCTTCAAACATACTTGCATGCATTCACAACCGGTTTCAAATAGAGCAGCCTATGCGGATGCCGTGTTGCAAGCTGGCATGGCCTTTGAGACTTATACCCACAGTCGGATATGAGGCTGGGATTAATGGGACGCCTGACTTACTATAGCTTACCATGGTATTGCTACACCCACAACCAGCCATATATACAGCCGGAGGAGAAGGCTTAGCCGCCTGGCTAGTATTGCTCAAATTACCGCCTGGCCAGCTGCTGGGCTTGCTAGGAGCATCGCATCTCAAAGCCGGCTGCTGCCAGGTCAGGGGTTGGCTTCTTTATAGCGCGGTTGCTCAACGCAAACGATCAACGAGGCAAACAATGCAGCCGGATGTATCATAGGCTTGCTGTTGTGCTGAACCTCTCAGGCGCACTAAGTGCCGCTTGTATATGCGAGGAGGTGCTTTGCTGGCTGCTCACTATGGCTGAAAAATCAAGCCCCATACAGCATATGCGGGAATGACGCTCATAGCTATTTTTATGATTGCCGCCTGAACTGTGCAATGGTGAGTAAAGGAATCGGATAATATACAAGCATTATGTGCGGGATGCCCATTCATATGAGCCTCATCCGGACTTCTATGCAAGTGTGTACAGGCGGGGTGTGGTGCTTAGTGCCTGCTGAATTCTTGGTGTTTCTCATGCCGGCTAAACCTTGCGACAACCACCTTGAAGCTTAGTTCATGCGTTGGCTGCCTGGCTCTGTGCGTGAGTTGCGTGGCTGTAGGAGAGCAACCATGCACACACAAGCGGTTGATGGATGGTTGGCTGGGACAGTGAGATGTACACACAACACAAGCACCCACAGCCGGTCTCATTGGTTAGTAGCTGCGTGGCATTGCAAACGTGCAACCACAGCCGGCTTATGGAGACGGATGGGAGTAGCTGCCGCCTGGCTAACTGCTAGAGGTTTCTATGGCATTGTTACACACCACCTCGCATTCATGCAGCCAATGACAATGCCGATTGCAAGCTGCTTATACAAAGCATACACGGCCGGAGAATTGGCTGTGTGTTTTAGAATTGGCCGGCTTGCTTAGGCATAAACCCGCAGGCGGTATTGAACAAAGCTGGAGGTGGCTGCCGCCTGGCTAGCTGTTGGATGGTCATGGCCTTGCTGTGTGCATCACAACAGCCAGCTTCTCGCGTATACGTTCAAGGTAACATAAACTCCAGCTCTTGCCTTTATTCGTATACACACAGCCGGTGAATACCGGTTGTAAGATTAGAGCTTGGACACCACCTCTTTGTTGCCGTGTATATGTTAATGTTACATCTCAATCACAAAGGATGTCGGCTGTAGGTGCTTTAAACCGTAGTTACTCAACAATTGCTTTGAAGGTTAGGCACCTAAATAGCCGGATGCCTTGCTTGACACTTATAGCTCTCGTACATAGCCGGCTGCTCATGCTTGTATACTTGTCATGCAGCTAGGAAACACACCGCCTGGGAATTACGCTTGCATATAAAGTGCCGGCTGACACCATCGAAATCGCATGGCAGCAGTGTAGTGATCAAGTGCTACCTCCCCATGCATAATAGTGAAGGCTGACCCCTTTGCTATTAAGAGCTTCAAAAACCCACAGTAATGGCCGACATACACAGCGTAAGATTAGAGCTGTCATGATGAGTGAAATATTGCCGCTTGTATATACTCGGAGCAACAACCCATTTAGCTCTTGCTTTTGAGGTT